GCTTCTCGAGCTGACTAGCCGTCTTGATGGCCCACGAATGCTTGGTTGTGCTCTGCAAGAGCGGAAACTGGTACAGATCCCAAGAGCGAAAAGACATGCTCAGATATCGTCCGCTCTCCAAAGCGCGCAGCATCGATAGCTTATTTATCTCGCTCAATAACACGTGCGGTATTCGCCACTGTACTTTGAATAATTCGAGCGTCGGCTCTGTCGTCGAATCTCCCGTCAGGCAATTGTTGTCGTTGCGCGCTCGTATTAAAATCAATTCGTGACGAGCGTTGATCACCACACGTCTGTAATCTTCGCAAAATCCCAGCAGTACGTAGAGCGGAACACAGAAATTAAAGTATCCGGCCGCAGTAGTCTGCGCATCCCAGCCGGCATTCCGCAGAATCACGCTTCTGTCGGATGACACTGTTACATAGTTTTTGATCGTGCTAGTTATGCCCACGTTTCTGTTACGATCAATCTCCACACCGTTGAGTTCATATCGAATCTCATCGAATATAAACGCAACGCAATTATTTCCCAATGACACGCTAGCACCCTGGACCACTTTGTTCTTCGTCAGTTTTCCCTCGACGTATAGAAAGCTTTCGTACGGCAATGTGTATAGATCCTGTTGCTGTATGGGTATTCTTATCTCGTCGCTGTACCCGAACGTTGTGTTGGCGAACGGGTTGTACGTGTGAGTCTCAATCTTGACGATGCGATCGTCGAAGACCGGCTCGCTTTTAATGTTTAGGATATCAGTCATCTCAAATGTTGCGCACCGCGAATCCCAAAGACTTTAAAAATGTAACGTTCGACGCGCTGAGCTTCTTCTTCTTTCTAATGCAGTCGGATGAGCGAGTGTTATCGAGCTGTGACGTCGTTGGCCTTGTAAAGAATACGTTATCTCTCTGCGTGCGCTCCGTTCCGTTCAACACGAGCATCTCACGCTCACGTTATCACTGCAGACGTCGTACGTGCAATCTAACGGTGATCTCTTCTCCGCGAAAATCGAGCAATCGTCCGTTCTGGTCGACGACGCGTATCGTCAGATCCGTAATGCTCCGTGCGATGATCGGCAGGTAAATGATCTGCGCCGGCCTCTCCGATATCTTATATCCTGGCGGCACGCTCGGTGAAAATTCGTGTATCGTGTGCGCGCTTTTGCCGTTGCTGTACGCACCCGCGGTCACGCTGCACTCTACGCGGATAACGTTTACGTTCATTATGTTGATCGACATGTCCGATTCGTGCCATCTTCGCGGTCGCAGTACGCGCTTCGACGAGAATCCCAGCAGCGATCCAATGCTGTTGGGTTTGTCAAAGTTTATTCCGTACGCACATCTAATCTCGCATCTCATCGTGTTGTAGTTTGCGCGGAGCGTAATCGGGTATTCTCCATCCTCACCGTTATCATTATCATCGGTGTCATTGTTCTTATTGTCACCGCGCACTACGTCAACGGTTTCAAGCGCGTCGCGGTGAGGACTTTTCCGTAAAATCGCGCGTTTCAGAAATTCATTTATGTCTCGCACTTCGTACGAACCTTCGGGAATTGTAATTTCCACGTCATCTTTGGCAAAATAAAATTTGTTGTTCGAATTATTCACGTTCGGTATCGTATGATAAGTCTCAAAAATCACCAGACCGAGCTCGTAATCGTCGTCACTCAAATCTATGGCGGGAAAGTAGTTTGCCGTGAGGACGGTGCTCTTCCCGCTCAGCGTAAGCGTCAGCGACATGGCGGTGTTCGACTAATACTGAAATTTCACAGCGTCTCACCGAGCTTTTTAAATTCGCGCGCGTCTACCGTTTGTAGAAACCGCAGGCACATCTGTCCGCAGAAGTTCTGATCGTACGTCTGACAGGACGTACGATTGTACTCTATCGTCGTAGCACCGTTCCCGAAATATCGCACCAGTTCCTTGGGAGGTCGAAGATTACCGAAACTGTCAAAGTATACGACGCGGTTGTTCCTCTTCGCGTACGCTACCCAGTGAGTACCAGGCCCCGTCGCATCGTCCAGATTCACGATACCGCTTTCGTTTCGACGCGCACCGCTCGTCGGTAACGCGTTACGCATGAAAACGCCTCTAAAGTATGGTACGCGCATACGTCTCGCGAGCTCGTTTAACTGCGCATTGGTAGTTGCGCCGGATGGCATTTTTATCGCTTCTTTGGCGTTTTTTTTTTTTTTTTGCAGCTGCACCCTGTCCATGCTTGTACGGACCGAGATACAGTCCGCGTCCGTATTTGTACGGAGCGAGATACAGTCCGCGGCCCTGTTCCATCGCGCGATCGTGTCGTTGCAGCTCTTCGAGCCGACGTCGCGCGGCTTTGTTGTCGTTTACCGCTTTCGCCACGCTGGCCGCTCCGCCGATCAAGGATCCGAGCGCGCCCAACATTGGCAGAAACGGTAACGCACCGCCTCGTTTCGCCGTTGGAAGTATCCGCTTTTTCGTCGTTTTTTTCTTCGTCGTCGTCGTCTTCTTCTTCGGTTTCATGCCCATGCCGATCTTGGTCTTGGCTTTCATCGCTGCCCAAACGGCAGCAGCGGCGGCTCTCTCGCCCAGAGCCGAATCACTCGCGGTAATGCGTTTCCGCGCCTTCTCGGCTAGTATATCGTCCGCCGCGTGTCTATCGGTGAGATCGTTGCTGCGCGAGTACGCAATGTCGTGTTCCCGACACGCCGCGTCCAGCGGATTTATGCCCGCGTCACCTCTGGCTAATCGCTTCTCAAGTCGAGTGCCTGGGCCGCAAAACTGGTAGCCCGGAATATGTAACCCGGAATATGAAAGGAAGCGCGTTTACCGCTCGATTCAACAGACCGCCGCGCGACGCTGACATTCGTTACAGTCCTTTATCTTAGGTGCGGGACCGTCGATGTGCGTTCGCTGCCACGGCTGATTGTAGTGCTCGTCGCACCGACGATAGGTTCGAACCTCCGAATCCGCCTTCACGTGTTCCGGAAGCCGGTCCCAGACGTGTTCGACGTAATCGCCGTACACGCGTAAGAGCACGACCTTCGGTATATATTGTAACTGCTCGGCGCTCAAGTTTCGAATATCGGAAGGATGACTCAGCGCGAGATACATTTTGCTACTGCGCGATTCGCGGGATTCGCGCGTCTTTAAATAGCCGTTCGAGAGCGCACAGCCCGTAGTGCGAGCATGAAATTCGTGCTGCAACCGCTGACGATACGCGTCACGAACTGCGACGCGAAATCGCGAACGATGGGAGATAGCGCGGAGAAGCGCAAGCACGGCGAAATGCTGCCGAGTACTATACGCGCGATCATTTGCGGCCCGTCGAATTGCGGTAAAACCAACGTTCTCGTAAGCTTACTCGAGAGCCCGAACGGCGTACGTTTCGAGAACGTGTACGTCTATTCGAAATCGTTGCAACAGCCAAAGTATCGATATCTCGAAAATTTGTTTACGTCTATCGACGAAATCGGCTACTTTACGTTCTCCAACAACAGCGACGTCGTTCCACCGAGTGAGGCGCGTCCAAATTCTATTTTTATCTTTGATGACGTGGCATGCGACAAGCAGGATGCGGTGAGAGAATACTTCTCGATGGGTCGCCACGCGAACGTTGACTGCTTCTATCTCTGTCAGACGTACGCGAGAATACCTAAACATCTGATACGCGACAACGCGAACCTTCTGATCCTATTCAAACAGGACGGTACCAACTTGAAACACGTTTACAACGATCATGTAAATACCGACATGTCGTACAACGAATTTTGCGAGTTGTGCCACGCCTGTTGGCGACAAAAGTATGGATTCGTAGTGGTAGACAAAGACAGTGCGCTCACAAATGGACGATACAGAAAAGGATTTAACGAGTTCGCGATACCGTAACGCGACCAGTCGTTGTCGATACTTAGCCTCGGACGAACATGGCGGATGTGCGCGAGCGTGAAAAAATCGCGAGAGCGATCGAGAAGACGAGCGAGTCGATCCGCAAGAAACATCGCGCTCTGAAGACCGGTAGAATCGAGGAGGACATCGCGTTGAACAGACGTTTTAGGCCTCTTATCAAGCCGCTGCGACTTTTCGCCGACAGCTCCGACGTGCGCGCGACAAAGAGAGAGTCGCGCGACGAAGATGCAGCGTCTGCCCATAAACGCGAGAGGAAGGAGGAAGAGGAACAAGAGGAGAGAGAAAAAGCGAGCGAGACGTTCGAGCGTTCCACGACTCTGCATAAATCCAATGATCGATCGCACGATGATGTACAGCCAATAGCCTCCACCCCGCGTGCCAAAATCGTACCAACGATAGAGTCGTTGGAGAACGTTTTCGAAACGACGGAAGATTCGCTAGCGACGAAGGTTCAAAATCAGCTGCAAACGTCGGAAGGTCGAGAGGCGTTACGAGCTGGTTTGGGCCCGCTGGGTCAAAAGTACGTCGAGGCCGTCCTGAGGGGAGCGAAAGATAAAGAGAGCGGTATAGATCGCGTGTACGGCGTTTACCTGCACGAGGATGGGCTGATGTTTGGCAATAAACGTTTCGACGTGGATGACGCGGACAACATAATTATCGACGGCGTACGATACGCCGGTACACCAGGTCTTTACGAGTTGATTTTCAAGAGAATTCCCGACGATGCCCTCTACACGGAAGACGATATGCACAAGTACAAGAGCATGCTGTTGGTGACGAACGCGCACAAACACAAGTATCATTCGCAGGGCCGATTATTGAGCAACAGAGGATACAAGTACAAACACGTAATCGCGCCGTTGATGTCGATCACACCCAAGAAACAGAAGAAATCTGGAAAGGGATTGCCTCACGCAATGACATTGAACGACAACGCGATCGATTACGTGCACTGGGATGATCCCAACGAGCTGGTGGATCGTCTACGATTGCTCGACGCTTCGCACCGAGCGGGCAACAACGCTCACGACAACGAGATGCTGTCGATCATCGAGGAACTTCGCGAAGCCGGTCTTATTATAAATTAATTCGCGTATTCGTAAAACGAGTCAGTCGAGGGACACCAGCGAGAAAAATACATTAATTTCTTGTACTCTGTGTATTACACGTCGAATCATGAAAAAGAAATCCGATGAAAAGAGAGAAAAAATTAGCTCGGAGAAACGTCGGCTCGTCGAGGAATTGCACGCTCCGGCGAGAAGAAATTTTCCGCGAAGGCGTGTCATAGTCCGGGGGTACGACGATCTGTGGCAGGCTGATATCGTTGAGATGCGTCCGTACTCGAGTTTCAACAGAGGCTACCACTACATACTCACCGTCATCGATGTGTTGAGCAAGTACGCGTGGGCCGTTCCGCTCAAGAGCAAGGGTGGAAGCGAGACGGCGAACGCTATCGCTGAGATCGTTCGAGAGAGCGAAAGATGTCCGAAAAATTTACAAACGGATATGGGGAAAGAATTTTACAATGCGGATGTACGGAATATCTTGAAAAAACACAACGTTAATCACTATTCCACGTATTCGACGTTGAAAGCGTCAGTGGTCGAGCGGTTCAATCGCACGCTCAAAAACGACATGTGGAAGATGTTTACACTCAACGGCAATTACAAGTGGGTCGACGAGCTGCCGCGTCTGGTGTCAGATTACAACGCGCGCAAGCATCGCACCATCGGCATGCGACCCTCTGACGTAACTTCTGCGATCGCCGAAAAACTCTTGGGCACGGTGTACAGTGCGATAAAGATAGCGGGTCCTGCAAAATTCAAAGCAGGCGATTCGGTACGCGTGAGCAAGTACAAGACGATTTTTGAGAAGGGTTACACACCAAATTGGACCACCGAAGTGTTTACGATCGTTAAGGTGCAGCGTACCAATCCCGTAACTTATCTACTCGAGGACTATCGTGGAAATTCCGTCGCTGGAGCGTTCTACGAGCACGAGTTGCATCGCGCTACTCGTCCGGACGTGTATCTCGTGGAGAAAGTGTTGCGCAGGAAGGGCGACAAAGCGTACGTCAAGTGGCTGGGATTCGATGGATCGCACAATTCATGGATACACAAAAACAATGTTATTTGATAAATTTTTTTTAATTCATATATTTTGTATACGTATAACAATATATAAGAATATAAGAATATAAGAATATAAGAATATAAACGTGTAAAAATATTTCTTATTATCCATTCCATTTTTTAGAGTATACTGATATAAAATATGTATATAAATATATGATACATGTAATGAAAAAAAAAGTAATACATAATAAATGATACTATATAAAACATAATAGTAATACTTATGTATACAACGTAAAAAACATAATGTGTAAATTACAATGATAATAGTAACAGGTATGTAGATTGTACGAGAATATTTAAAATAATGTAAAAAGATATACACAAAGTAAGATATAAGATAATACATATACGTCGTATGAAAATATAAAAAAGTAAAAAACATAATAGTAATATAAATGTTGATATGTACATATGTTACAAAGGTATCCGCCAATGTCCCCACGGTAACGTCTCCGTCGAATTCGGTACGACGTATCGTTTGTCGTCGTATGGACTCAGAGCGATTTTCGATTCGGATATCGTGTATACCTCGTGCAGTTTAGATCGTATACACGATTGACGACGAGTCATTTCGATCTCTTCGTTCAAACATCGAGTGTAATCGTCGAACGTTATCGTTTGCGCTACGACGTTATTCTTTACTGCTTTCACTTTTTTGGCGTCCTTCTTGCCGTCAACCCTCACAGCGTACATCTTCGCTCTGACACCAACGAATTCGGTCATTATCGCACCGTTATTTTCGTCCTTCATCAGACCGGGTACTTTTTTGTTCGCGAGAGGCATACCGTACGCGTTGTCCGTCGGATAATCGCTCGTGTCGAATCTAGTGATATCGCGTTTCATAGTCTCGTAAACGTCCTCGCACTCGACGCTGTATATAAGGCTGTCTGTATCGGTGTACATTATTTTACATTTATCGGGAAACAGTGGTAACATATACTCGTGATGAAATTCGTACAAGCAGACTTTCGATATGTCGAGTATACACATACCCACGTAAATCGGTTTGTCGAACTTCACCTCGAGTTTGCGCAGTTCGATGGCTATTAAATTTTCCGCAAAGACCCTACGGCTGTGGAAATTTGGTTTTGCAATCGTTGCCTCCGCGCCGTACCGTCCATCCCATTTTGTTAATAATTTTACGTCAACGTGGTTGCGCACATTCTCCATAGTTTTACCGAATACCGCGTTGTTCATTAATTTATATAAATTTTTTTCGAAATCGTTTTTCGCGCGCGTTCTGAAATTTGTATTAAGTTCAATGTAATCGCGAAGCCATGGAGATTGCGCGAATTGTAGCACCCGATGGATCTTTGTTACGCGAAGACCGTGACGAGTACATTGCTGCAGGTTGCGGTAGTGGATGACGTAACGCTGTTTATCGTACAGCGTCGCTAAAAGTTTATGTTCGCGCTTGCCGGGCGGCTTATCGCGCGTCGGACAGAACGGTAGGTCGGTGTGTCGGTCGTGTACATGCTGCGGATACTCGAGATCGACTTCGAGAATGTAACCGGTGGGCGAATCCGGAGCGATCGCGCTCGCGTCAAAGTTCGCAGCGTCTTCGACCCATTGAAATTTGGCGTATGGCAATGGTTGACACATCGCCCATCCGTATAAATTGTTAACGTCGTAGTACATCAAGTACGACGACGGTTCCGACGGATTGTACGAATGCATGTACTTGTTATTAGCCTGCGCGTATCTGCCTGAACATTGACTGAGACCACCGCGTATACCGCGCTCGATGAACATGATCATGTCAATATCAGTGAGCAACTCAAACTTTACACGCGTATGTTTCAACATCGCGTCCCACGTGAAACCAGGCAAGGTGTAATAATGTGCGGGATCGAGACCGTAACTCGCGACGCAACTTTTGCGGAAATTTTCGAAAATGTCGGCTAATAACAAGACATCGGTTTTCAAGTACAGATCACTGTACTCGCCGAGCGTTCGGATGGAGAATCGCTACCATACGTTCGCCGCGTGAGCGTAATCGCTCTCGGATACGGTATCGCCCGTTAACGAACTGTAAAAAGATTCGCGAGGGGGTAAGCGCGTGTCCTGCAATTTTTCGGCACAGTCAACGTACGGAAAGACACCTTTACGAGTCAGTAATTTAAATTCATCGTCCGATAGTGCTGAAAATTTTGAACGTATAATTTTTAATTTGTCTTTATCGAGATACGACGCTAATTTATCGAGACTTGTACTGAGAAATTTGAAAGAATCAATAAATCGTAATTTTACGCAATTTCTCTGAGAATTATTTTCAGTTTTATCTTTAGTGCTATCGACATGTTTCGTGAAGGAGATGTATTTTTCTTTGGTCATCGGTAATACATCTACGCGTCCTTCATATGCTGTAGCGATTTCCTTAATTATAAAATGCGCGTCGTAGCCCGATAAATTGTGAAAAACGATCGGAATATATAATGAATTTTTATAATTTAAGTTACAGTTCGAATGAGCTGGACCGCGGTATCTACCGATTAAGTGGTAATGATCGCGTACCCGCGTGTCGTCCGACGCAAACGGTTTCTCGCAATTGTGACAACGCGTCGCGCTACGGTACGCCTCCCATTGTTCTTTCGACAATGTTTCCATGGGCACGTTGGCGGATACGATATTTTTCACGCGATGCGCCAAATTGTCGAGTTGTCGCGCGAACCACGCTATACAATCTTTGTCGCGACGGAACTGATACGACGATAACGCGTCATCGTACGAGCAACGCACGTAGTAGCCTATGCTGAATACCTCGTGCCGTTGATACGCGTACGACGACGCACCTTCCCTGTCGGGTTCTGTCTTCCGTAAAACGCACTCCAGGTCGGCGTAGACGACGAATGGGACGCGCTCCTTGTTGCAGTGGTTCCCAAATTCGAGCCACTTTTCGTCCTCGCTCGGCAGCCGAATAGTTTGCGCAATCGTTGATCTTCTGACAGTCCATTGTGTGCGACTGCAATTTCTCATTCGTGCCGAAGTAATGCAAGCATCTGAAAATAACAAAAAAATATAACAATTATATTTACCTATATTTTATTAATAAGATGGGAAATTATAATAATTTTTTAAGGTATACATACCGATCGCAGAAATATTTCTTGTGCTCTTGTTTGCTTAGTTGCGAGCTCACGAGATGTGACAGGTTCTTGATCCACGCAAAGTGGGCGACACCGACGTCGCGTGGATCTTGCATGTACAGGAGATTGACATGCTTGTCCTTCTTGTCACTGGTGAGCTGCAGAGGAAGAAATTGTTTATTCTCGATGCCGTATACATTGATCGACATCGCGTTCAACTGTTCGAATTTCGGAATGTCTTTGAACGTAATCGGAAATTCGATACCCGCGAGATTCAGCACCGTTGTATAATGCGGATACGACGACTCCCGATTTACATTTCTTTCAGCCGGGTACAGAGCGGCGACCACCGACCACGCGAAGCACGCATTGTCCATCGTACTAACGTTGATCACCGCTCGTTTCGTCGCTATTTCCCGCGGCACCTCGAAGTAACATCTTAGTTTGTTCACATTCACTATCAAATTGAGGATTCGCGACAATGCCCACCCGCTGTCGCGTTCCTGGAACTCTTCGAGTGATGTCAGCGTGGGTTCGATGATATGCTGCTCGTACCACTCGCGCAAATCGGTGTATCTGTATATCTCGCTGTTCTTTGAAATTATGCTCTTATTAGCACGTTTATCCTTCGTCGCAAACTCGCCATTGAACGCAGTGTTTACTTTTGCACTACCGTGTCTTTCTACGGCGTCTCGCACACGTTCGAGCACTATTTCTCTCGCGTCTTCCAAAAACCGCCGCGGCTCGATGTAATCGACTGACCACAGCACCCGTCGATATACGGTTTTCAAACGCGGCGTCGATCTCTCGCCAGACGAGAGATCTTTCGTCGCGACTCGCGTACCCACCACCAACGTGCACAAAACGTCGCTCTAATCGTGTCTTTGCACCCGCGAGTCGCGCGATCCTCGCCACCATGGATTGTCTGTGTCCAACGGTGAGACGTGGACGCTTGGCACGACAAAGCTCTTCGAGCCGCTCGATGTCGCATACTCGTCGCATCGTTGCAGCCACGCGAAACATTCCACCAGAGTAGCGACCTGGCTGCACTGCTCCAACAGTTCGTGTTCCACTCGCTCGTGATTTTCCATGTTTTTTTCTTTAGATCACATCACACTCTTCCACAGAACACTTGCACGTGACTCGGTCACACACGTTGCAGCATCGATACATATATATATATATATATATATATATATCCAGAAAATCATAATGTTCTATTACTTTTTCGTCATGTTCGTATGCGAAAATGCACTGTTCACTCAAAGCATCGATCGTTGCATCTGTCGAGAAATAGATTTGCAAAATTGCGATCACGAAACCCTATCCATATACGAGGTGTGATCAAAAAGTAAGGTGACTTTTCATTTTTATAAAAAAATATTCATTTATTCATCCAAAATTATGTTATCCCCTTCAAAATAATCCTCCTCTGATACAATGCACTTGTGCCAGCGCTTTTTCCAGTCGTCAAAACACTTCTGAAATGCACTTTTGGGTATTGCCTTGAGCTCCTCCAGCGATGCAGCCTTAATCTCCTCAATCATCGCAAATCTTCGTCCTTTCATGAGCCTTTTCAATTTTGGGAAGAGGAAAAAGTCGCAGGGGGCCAAGTCTGGTGAATACGGTGGCTGAGGCATGATGATAGTATTGTTTTTGGCCAAAAAACTACTCACTAGTAAGGACGTTTTGGAACGCAGTTTTGGAACGAATTTCGCTGACACACGTGTCATATCCAAAACATCCGTTAAAATTGATTGGCATGAGCCAAACGATATGTTAAGATCATCAGCTATTTCTCTAATCGTGATTCGACGATTTCGAACGAATAACTTATACCATTTATAAACATTTTTTTTGCTCAAAGTTGACTCACCGTACGCCACTGTCAACATTTCAAGAGTTTTTAAACACTTAATACCATTTTTTACACAAAAATTAATACAAACTCTCTGCTCCATTATTATATTTTCAAAAGCAAAAAATCGCCGAGCACGCAAACACGAGTCTAACCTTTATGCCTCTCACATAAAAATAACACATGCTATATAGTCAAAACTGTGAACATATGATCGTGACGAGTGTACCAACACAACAAAAAAAATTTTTTAAATTAGAGTGTACAGAGCGCGCGAAATTCAAAAAGTCACCTTACTTTTTGATCACACCTCGTATTGTCGAAAATCAGCAGTTCGACGCACTTTTCACTACCTGCAGGAATCTTAATGCGGATGTACCAACCTTGGCTCTTATCTAAGATTTTCTTCGCCCAATAATAATCGTCCTTTATTACATTCTATTTCGGTTAGGTCGAATATGACCATTGCGATGGTGAAAAAATGTCACGTCACAGTATTCATTACCATTTTTTACGGCCGGTTGTTCCATCTTTAGATAAATTATGTGGTAATGTATTTATTTCATAAACAAAAGAGTAAGAACACAATCCAGCGAGAAATGACAATGGAATCAATGTCGAATCGACGTCGAATTCGATTTCAGTAGTAATACTAAGGGGGGTTCGAACTCACAGATACCGCAACCAACCAACTGGCAGGTGGCGTTCGCGTCGCGGAGATGACGTCACGAATGCGGGGGTCTACTCAACTTTCCCCTTTTTCTTTTTTCGAATAATTTACAACTCATCTCATTTACTATTTGGGATGACGTCACTGAATCGACTTCTATGAAGGCGTCTTCCTCAGTCTCATCGGCGAAAGCATCTTCATTCTTGACCTTCTCAGTGGGAGCGTTCTCATCATTCCGTTATTTTCCTGCTCCTCTATCACCACCATCATAGATTTTCCGAAGTTCAATAGTTTAAGATATTTAATAATAACTATTAGTAGTCTGTTCATACACTAGACTGCACTAGAACTTTCTTTCTTACTTTCAATAAATATTAAACATAACACATGGATCAATAAGTCCCGAGACTAACCCAGAAATGGCGCTCGTAGTAAACCAGTAACCACGTCTTTCTAGAGTACTAACCTTTGCTTGAAACGTGTCAAAATTTTAAGTCGATCGGACTAGAAACAGCTGAGTTATCGAGGTTAGAGTAAAGTCGTTTTGTAGTTTGTTTAAAAAAT